GGGGATGAATTGAATGAGAAAAAGATAAAAGGAACAGCTTCATCGTTTTCCACAACTTGATTACTTTAGAAAGATGTACTTCAAGGCAGTAATCTTGCCAGTGACTAGAGTGGACTATCTACATCCATTAATATCTACAGAAGCACAACCAGATTAAAAGTGAACTTTCATTTACCAGTCTTGATTACATATGGCGATCCATTTTTTCATAGTAGCATGAAAAATTTCTTGGGCAACAGGAACATCCAGTCTTTTAGGATCCAGCATATTGTAGAGCAAGAGAAGTTTACCATTATCATGGCTATGCCCTGTCACATCCTCCAAATACTTTATAAAAACAGATGCAGGTACTGTTCCTGTTAGAAAAAGAAGGGGAGGGGGCAGAGAAGAAGAAGCTGCAAGATAAACAGTGATCTAGACTTGCCTTTATTACATATTACAAAAGTTCAACCAAAAAGCTTAACATGCAAAGGCTTTCACTCACATCAGCAAGATTTAGAAATTGAATTGCCTTCAAGTTCAACATCTAAAATAGCATCAAATATACCTTTTTCTTGGGCATCACAAACTTCAAAAGTAATATTGATTAAATCGTCTTCTGAAAATTCATCAAAGACTGACATGTTGTTAGCTATTCATTCGCCAACTGTAGAACTGGCATTCCCTAAAACAAAGATAGCAAAAAATATAGCATATCCTGAAGGATAATCTCTTTATTTTTCACGAAAAGATCAGGTTATCAGAAACTGTATGCCTAAGAACAATGCCTACCAGCTCACCCCTTGAAAAAAAGGTTTGAATGTACAACTCTATCCAAGCCAACAGTTGTATAATCTGTTAAACCAGAAAAAGAACATTTAAAACCCAGTACTCTTTAGTTCCTTTATGTGTAACCTTATAGGGTTTAGAATTTAACTCACTACAATAGCTGTTTATGAAAGGAGAAGCTATGAAGGTGGGAAATGGAAGACAAGTAAGTGGCTTATAGATAGTTTTGAGAAACAAGTAAGAAATGACATTAAGAGCAAGTTTGTTTCCAACCTTGATTTAAGAAAACATATAAAAATTGAAAAAAAATTGAGAGTACTTAATATGTTACTGAGCCTACTTTTTCTTCCTTGTACTGTATTTGTAAAATGACTCCCCACAGCTCTAAATCCAACCACCAAGCTTACCTCCAAAACTAAAACAAGGCCACCAAGGGGGGGGGGGGAGCTTGACTTACAGGAATTACATGCGAATGTAGGAGATATTAAACAGATTTCCCTCTCTGCCTATCCACCAACCCTTCCACAATTAAAGGAAACCTTGAAAATATGTAATCACATAGATAACATGGAGCATTATCCTGAGACTTCAGAGTTCTTTTATTACCTATTCCAGCCCAGTGTTCACATATTTGTAAAACACTGACCACACATTCTACAGAAAGTCGAAAATATTAGATCTGTAGATGAAACTGAGAAGTCAGAAAACATCAGGAAGAAACTGGATTTTTTTCATACTTTGGAGATGCAAATTTCCAAGAAAATTGCATCTCCAAAGTATTTCAAAAAAGCAGAGATTTTTTTTTAAATTATATTCATTTTATGCCATTCTTCCACATAAAATATTCCCCAGGAATCTTACATCCACAAATCTAAGTTGGTTTGTATACAAACATAATAGTCTACTTTAAGACAGAAAAATAATTTCCCCTGGTTTTTAAAATTAAATTAAACCTAATGCTGAGTGTTAGAGAGTAACTTGATGCTAAAATAATCATTAATAGTCTAACACCACAATTATGTAATTTATGTAATTATCACATATAGCAAAAGATGTTCAATTAAATTTGAAGCTGTGGGTAAACAAATACTTGTTTATATGTTGCAAATGCTACAGTAACAGAATAAAACTCCCTTCATAATTCCACACAATGGCTGTGTTTACACATAAAGCTGTATTGTTTTTTTAAAATATGTGACTGAATTCACACATTGAATTAGGGACTCCCAGTGTGGCACCTCAGGCAGAGAACTTCCTTAGCTCTCTTTCCACCATACATTCCAGTCAACTATAAAAATGAAAATCTGGCAGGCTGTAATTATTAATTATTTTGTGTACAGACAAGTCATGCTCCTGTCATAAGTTATTTCCAAGAACATTTTCTCAAAATTCCAAGTATGCCACAAAGCCCAAAAGACTGTTAGGCTAACCATAAGCCATGGTTTATGAAACATAATGACTAAATTCACACAACAATCCAACCCAAAGTCAAAGGAATCATAACAGGGTATAGCACTATGGGTGAACTTAGTCAATATTTTCCTTTTAAAACAGATATTACAGAAAAACAGTATTCTCAAAGGCAGCAATTATCTTAACCATACAATGTGGTCTGGTTCACATATCTTAAGCCATCATGTGCTTTATTTAGTTTTGGCTTTGCATGATGGGTGAATTTGATCAACTATGGTCTATTCAGTAAACACTGGTAATCCAACTATGATTTAAATCAATATGTGAAAGTAGGTATATAAGTAATTTTAGAAAGGTTTTGTATTATTAACCCTCCTAACTGAAATTATTCACTATAACCTCAAAAAGGCACTTTTTGGTGAGGGGTAAGAGATTTACAACATCAGTTACTAAGTCAAAATGATGTTATGTTAGGGTTAGTATCATGGCAAGAGAAAAGTCAACTTAAGTTACCTCTGCCAAGCAGAGAAGGAATGGATGTTTTATTGCTTGTTTTCCTCTTCTTTTCATACTTTGCTTTTTAGAGGACCAGTCTACAGGAAAGAATTGCAATTTCATATATATAACAACTAGAACATTTTAGATATCTTATATAATTGTTAAAATGTAATGGTGCCAAATTTATTTTTGCTAAAAGCAATTTTAATATTTAAAACAGAATAGAAATTCCAAACTGCTTTCTTGCAAATGTAAAGCTAAATAGCTTTTGCCACCTACTATTTGCATACATTACTTCCCAAGAAACTGATAATAGTTGATTTATACACTGCTAACTACCAATTAACAAATTCAGTCCAAAATTGTTTACCTAACCCCACATTTTCTTAGTATATGTTTATATATTTGTCCCTCATATCTTTCTATTTCAATTACTCTGCAGTGCAGTCTTATATATGTTGATCTAGAATAAGTCCAAGCACTATATTTTATTGCATTATTAAATTATTACATTAGACTTCCTGGATGCTTCTACAATTAACAGAATGTAGTTCACAGGCTCCTTTATAAGGTTGATAGTAAATATTCAATCATGCATTTATTTCTGTTTTACTTTCCTTCCAAGTTAAAGTTTTACTTTTGATCTAAAAGTCTTAATGTCTAAATACATTAAGACGCTTGCTTACTTAAAACATAGTGCTGAACCTCTTTGTAGAACTAGGGCTGTTGACTCTCAGCAGCTAATGTTGCACACAGATGATTCCCAATGGAAAACCTGTAATATTTCCAGTCGCAAATCCTTGTTAGCTATTCTTTCTTTCCATCCTTAACAGAATCCTCATGATAAGAAATGGAAGTAATGTTTGGAAAATGCAGATAGGCTGCAAATAAAAGATGCCATCACCTGAATCTGGTCAAATATTGTGAGAAAGGTAGGATGATTACCAGTAATTGTTATTTAAGAGCACCTTAAATCTGTATTTTAATCAGCTGAGAATAGAGATATTAATCATTCACCAGATATACTGGTTACTATACTGGCTACAGACAGAATCTTCACATCTGATTAACCTACTTAATTATTGTTTAATAATTACTAATTCTTGGAACAGAGTAGGAAAGCCACTTTAATCATATTGTATTACCCACTAGGGCTACTATATATAGGATGCAAAACTCCAAATAGCCACTAGAGGCCAGTAAAGCATTAAGAGCTTTTTATATACGTATTTCTACAGCTCACATATCTTATTATCCACAAATCTTTTTGCAGAGGCTAATTACACAATAATCCCGTTTTCCAATATTTCAAGATAAAAAAGGAATATGGTGATATACTAAATAATTCCTATTTTCAGTCAGGGATTAATTTTCAAGCAACTACAACCCTTTTCAAACATTAGCGAGGGCTTCGTCTTGCATCTGCAATAACCAATCCTACACAGCTTTGGAAACAATATGAGAGGCACGTTGATCAGGATTTTTATGGATCAACTGCTCCACCAACAGAGTCTGACCACGCTATTTTAACTCCCAACAGATTCAGCGTTTACGAAGAATGGAAAGAGTTTAGTTTGATTCGTTCCATTTGTTTTTTGAACTGTTGTGGGTGTCAGATTTTTGTTACAAGCAACCCTGGGAAAGTGCACCGTGTCTGTATGTGCCCATGTATACACGTGTACATATACTGTATTTACATTAAGATAACTAATTCAAAGTTTACAAATTATTCTGAAATACAGCTTTTGTTTTTAAGGATCAATTGTTATGGTCCCTTTCATCTACTCATTCAGCAAATTACAAAACACAGTAGGGGAAATAGTACCTAGCCTATTTCAGTCTGCTATTTTTTTTTTTAGTAATTTAGTAAGTTTTTAGATTTTTTAGTAATATCCTTGCTTTGCAGCGCCTCCTGGATGTAGTAAGCTAGCGCTTTAGGGAATGGGCTATATTGACTTTCTTTTTAGTCAGCTAATTAGAGATATTCAGGCAAGGTACCCCATCTCTCTCTCTTTGACAAGGGAAGTGTAAACATTTTACAGATAACCCCCATCTATTTGAAACGATCTCTTCGTTCTGGATAATATGCGGATCGTTTCCTAAAACCTTGTTACTACTGAAGAGAAGAGTCATTCGTTTAAGGACCCTTCTCGCGGTCGGTCGCACCGCGCAGCGGGAGGAGGAAGAAGAGGAGAGCGGAGGCTGCGGAGCAGCGAGGGAAAAGAGCCTGTCCATCACTTCTTCCCCCTCCTCCTCCTGCGCGTCGCCCTCCTTCGCGTCGCCCTCCGCGCATGCTTCCGAGGTTAAGGCTCGAGAACGCCTGCGCGGACGGCGACGGCGGTGGAGCTGTTGGTCCGACGGCAGCTCCGGCGAGGGGCTGGCGGCGTGAAGTGTTGGGGACGGAAGCGATTCCCGTAGCGGGAGCGGCGCGCTGCCATCACCACCATGTCTCGGGGCTCGATTGAGATCCCCCTCCGGGATACCGACGAGGTGAGTAGCGCGGGACGTCCCTTGGCTCGCTTTCGGTGGGTCCGTGTTTGTCTTGAGTCGCTTTGGGGAAAGGCAGGGTTATTGAAGATCCCACCCGCTTCTCTTGGAGGAGCTTGAGCCAGTCCTCCCTGCGCTGCTGGGGTGTTGATACGAGGCAAATCTGCAACCGCTGATATTTTGTGTACGTGCATGTATGGACGCACAGAGCCAGTTTGGTCTCGTGGTTAAAGTGCTGAACTACGAGTGGGGAGATTTGAGTTCTCCTGCCTTAGGCATAGGAATCAACAGGGTGACTTTGGGATGAAAACAATGGCCAACCACTTCCAAAAACGTTGTCCGGAAAACTGCATGGATTTGTCACCAGGACTCAAGGCTGATTTGAAGGCAAAGCAAACAAACAAAATACATACACATCTGTATGTATATATTGCCAGCATTACTTTGGAATTTCAATATTACTAAAATTGCTGCTTCCTTTAACAGCTTGTAAATTTGGGGGAGGGGGTGGAGGTGTAAAAAATATTTTTATAGGTTACTGAGTAAGCTGCATGAATCTTGAGTTTGTGCTTTTACTAGTATTAACTTCTTTGTTTGAATACATAGAGGTCACTACTGTTACTGTCATTTTGCCTAGTTGCTACTCATTTCCCAGCATGTGCAGGTGTGCATATTTGGAGAATGAATGCAAGATCATTTTGGAACTGTCCCTGCCTCTGTATTTGAAAACCATATATCTCATCTCAGAAGGTAGCAGTGCCTGGCCAACTTTGTTTCAACTTGGAAACTAAGCAGAGTTGCACCTGTTTAGTAATTGGATGGGAGACTTGTAGACAAGACTGGGATATAAAAACAAATGAGAATAGGGCTATCACATCTGGCTGCAAAAATCTGGATGACCACTACATGGTAACAAAAAGTAGGTTTTCAGTGTCTCTTTGCTGCCATTGATTTACTGGTCACCTGGATTTTTGCAATCTATATATAATACCTTGTGGAAGAAGGCAAGTTCAAACCAATTCCATATTGTGGAAAAACCACCATGAGCTCACCAGGAGTTCAGCTGAATTTGGTTACACTTTTAGCTTAGACTTACTACAGGTAGTCCTCGACTTATGACCATAATTGGGATCAGAACTTCCATCCCTAAGTGATGTGGTCATAAAGCGAGATGTCATGTGACCGCATCTCTTAACATCCACAATATGGGCAGTCCCAGTTGCCATTGTTAATCAAGAATCATGAGTTGTTAAGTGAGTATCCACCCAAATCCAAGCCGCTCTGGGCTTGGTCCCCCCAAGCCTCAATAAGGTAAGAGACTGCCTCCAACTCCCCCACCTGCCTATTCCCCCCTCATCTCTGCCCTTCTTGCAGCCCTGCACTCTGCTGCCCCAGCTGACCTTTGCTGTCTTCTTCCTCTGAAAAGCCTTTTTGCAAAAAGCTCCTGGAGTGTGGCACACCAAAACACCCCTTTGAAAAAAGCTCCTGGGCAGGGCTGGGGGGGGGTTTTTCCCTGTTGTGCAAAAAAAAAAAAAAGGGGGGGGAGCCAAAAGCCCAGCCCAGCCCTGCCCAGGAGCTTTTTTCAAAGGGGTGTTTTGGTGTGCCACACTCCAGGAGCTTTTTGCAAAGGTGGTTTTTGGAGCAAGAAGATGGCGAAGGCCAGCTGGGGCAGCAGAGTGCAGGGCTGAAAGAGGGGCAGAGATGAGGGGGGAATAGGCAGGTGGGGGAGTTGGAGGCAGTCTCTTACCTTATTGAGGCTTGGGGGGACCAAGCCCAGAGCGGCTTGGATTTGGGGGGGTAATCACCTTACAAATCCTGATTTTTTATTTAA